GCCCGCCCCTCCACCCTGCACCCGCCTGGCTGCCGCCTCCCAGCCCATCCGGGGCTCTGCGTCCGCACCCTGGAGCTTGCAGGTCTCCACAGCGGGAAGGTTCCCCCTGAGCACTGCTGGAAGCCACCTCCTCCGGGAAGCCTTCCCAGACTGTCCGCTTGTGTCTCCTGCCACAGGACATTCTGTCTGTGCCGCCCCCTGGTTCTGGGCCTCTTGTCCCCTCTCCTCAGGTGGAAACCGGTCTGGGGGAAGGCGACGGGGCTTCTGTCCTCTGTCGGCCCCTCAGGACTCAACCCGGTGTGGGCAGGGCAGGCCTCTGCTGGCCCCGTGGGTTTCAGCCTGTTGGATGCGTCAGAACCCCCACAGGGCTGGGGCAACACTCAACGCGGGGCCCCACCCCAGGTGTCTGGTTCGGCAGGTCCGGGAGGGAGCCCAGAAAGTTGCATTTCTCACAAGTTCCCAAGTGGCTCTCCCGCAACTTAGAGATGTGCCCTGCCCAGGAATCAAACCCGCAACCTTTCTGGTGCCTGGGACGATGCTCGAGGCGACTGAGCCACGCCGGCCAGGGCGGGAATTAGTGAATACGTGTTTTTCATTTGAGTTTACTCTCGAATACAGTTACTATTGATCGCTGCGGCCAACAACCAAAGGTGTAGTGAAGTCCATGTGTTCAGTAGATTATTATTATTATTATCATCCTGATTTCAGTCTGGCTTTTCATTCTGTCCACAAGGGCCTGTATAACGGGTCACTGAGTGCGGGACTGGCCGCTGCAGTGAGCTCGGGGTGGGGTGGGTGGTCTCCCGGATTAATAAAATGCCCCTGAGATGACAAGTCAGGGAAATATCCGTAAGGAAATTGCATGGAATCTCTTGTAAAGGGTGTCCCAAAATTCACGCAAGAAGTAATTTTGAGAGAAAACACAGGCTTATAATTAAAAACTGTAAATTTTTATTGATTCATAAAGTACACAGCATAGGGTTATGTGCGGAATAGCACATCGGGTCCATGGCCTCCGCGGCTTTGCTGGCACATCCGCAAAGCCACGGCCTTCGTTGGTCTTCATTGTCCCTGCTCCTGGGCCATCATTGGTCCTTGGTCATGCTGATCCAATGGACGGGATTGACATCAAAGGGCCACAGATATGAGAATCTGATCCCATAAACCCAGTACAATTAGGCTTTTATTTTTGTTGTTGTCGTTGTAAATGCTCACGCAGAATTCAAATCTTGCGTGAATTTTGGGACACCCTTGAGTTTTCAGTCCTGCCTGCCCTGGCCTGTGCCCAGGAGCCGAGGTGAAGTTCTGCCCCTCGCCGCCAGAGGGAGCACGTGATGCGCGCAATAACGTGCGCTTTGGTACAGAAGGGACCCCAAAACAGGCTTCACCCAAGGGTGCGGTGACCCCTGAACTAGATCTTCGGTTTGGTTTGGTTTTTAGGAAGTTTAGGAGTTGCCCCGGCAGCCAAGGAGGAAAGACATCAGGACCCCATGGGCAGGCGGAGCAGTGAGTGGCGCAGTGGCATGGAGGAGCGTGGGATGGGGCCTGGGGGACTGTGGGCAGTTTGCTCTCACTAGAGTGTGAAGGACTACCCTGGGGACCAGCAGGAGGAGGTGGAGCCGGGAGGAGATGGGCCTGGTGACAGGTGGGCCCAGGGCTCACCACGCTCCCCGCTCTGTTACAGCCCAGACCCGAGGCCCCGGGACCGGGCGGTGCAGACCGGCCACCAGGGGGCGCTCACAGCCCGGCCCACGGCGCACGGGGAGCCCCGAGGTCCAGGAAGGGGGGGGGCGAACAATGGGGTGATTGATGCAGATGCACCATGAAAGACAAATTGTTCCGTGAAGCTCGGGGCTCCTGCCAAACGCCCAGGGTGCGTGGAATTTCAAGGAGAAGCTGAGGAAAGTCGGGCTGGGGGCCGGGACCCCGCACCTCCCTCCCCGGAGCCCGGGGATTGGGGGTGGGGGGGGAGTAGGTGGCACAGGTGGGCGAGGGGGCGCCGGACTCCCACTCCTCACATGGCCCCCCGCACCCTGAGTCCACTCAGCCTTGAATGAACGTCTCGCCCCACCTGCTAACCCCACTCCCAGAGCTGCTGGCAACCCCAGCTCCCCCCTCCCCCCTGGGTGGCCTGGGGTGAGGCCTGAGCTTCTTTGAACCTCGGTTTTCCCATCTATAAAATGGGAGCACCACCCCTTCTGTGTCTGCCTCCCAGGGCCTGTGAGGATCAAACGCGGAAGATCTTCATCACTCAGCATCCCTGCTCCCTCTGATCAGAGGGGACCCGGCCAGGCAGCCCCTCCCTCCCCCCCGCCCCCCCCCCGGCCCACAGCCTCCTCTAGGCCCCAGAAACCCCCACCTGGCTCCTCAGTCCCTCCCACGACCCCCACGCTCCCTGAGACCTCCAGGTGACCCGGCCTCCTCCCACCCCAGCATCTGAACTTCCGACGCCCCCCCCCACCAAGGCTGACCACCCCCAGGCCAGGAGGGTGGGGCAGGATCTGAGGCCGAGACACAAGGGCTCCTTGTCCCGCTGGGCAGGCTGGCACCGCCCGTCCGTCCTGTGCCCAGGAGGAGTCTCTCTGGCTCTATTGTCCTTCTGTTGTGCTTGGGGGAGGGCCCGTCGGGGTCCATCTGGATCGGGCCAGCGGCCGGCTCACAGCCTGGACCAACTCCCTCCAACCCCCAGCCCCCTGGCCGGACACCTTCCAGGCCTGTGAACTGTGCCCTGCCCCCTCCCAGCCTCCATCCTACCCTCGTCCCCTCATTGTCCCTGATGAAGGGAATCGTTCGCCGTTCCTGCAGTGCCCCCAGCAGCGTGCCCGCCTTGGTGGTCAGTAACATCTCCCATGGCCCCGCCGCTGCCAGCCCTGGTCGCCCAGGGCAAGACCTAAACCCCCCGAGGCTGGCCCCGGCCTCCTGCCCACCATGGCCTGCGTGTCCGTGGCTCCTGGCCAGCCACAGACCTAGTCCTCACATCACACCATCGCTGTGTGACGCTGGGCTAATCGCTAGCTGTCTCTAGATTAGCGATTTCTTTATATTTTTAAAATATTTTGTTATTGATTCCAGAGAGGAAGGGAGAGGGAGAGATAGAACATCCATGATGAGCGAGGACCATGGATCGGCTGCCTCCTGCGGGCCTCCAACTGGGGATTGAGCTCGCAACCCGGGCACGTGCCCTTGACCGGGAATCGAACCGTGACCTCCTGGTTCCTAGGTCGATGCTCAACCCCTGAGCCACACCGGCCGGTCCTCAATGTCTTTGCCCACAAAGTGGGGAGGGAGGTCTCCGCTCCAGGCGGCGGGGAAGATAAATAAGACAGTCCCTACGAAGCCTGGTTCCCAGGCCACAGGGCAGAAGTCGTTGCCACTCAGATGGCCCCCCTGTCCCCATGGAGAGGGGGCCCCCTCCCAGCTGGTCCTCACACCCTCAGCCCATGATCACGTCCCCAAGTGCACCCCGTGTCAGAAGAGGGAGGGGGCAGGAGGACCGCCTGGGACAGCTGGGCATGTCGGCATCGTTCCGGTCACTTATGCAGAATTCACTCTCCGCCAAAGAGAAACAGGGTCCCGGCTCCCGGGTCACAGGCAGCCTCAGAAATCGCTAATCGCTAAGGAGAGAACTGAGCACACAGGCCATGTCAGCCGCCCGCCTGGGCTGGCGTGGGTGTCCCCAGTGGGTCCGGGGTGCAGGCCAGAGCAGGGCACAGCTCAGCCCTGAACCGTGTGAGCAGACATAAGACCCTCCGGGGCCCCACCCGCCCACGTGGGCAGCAGCTCGGGCCAGGGAGGGGTCGGCAGGCTGGAAAGGGTTAGGGCACAGGTGGTGCCTGGGGCCCAGCTGCTTCCCGTGGGCGTGGGTGTGGGCGTGT